GCCTAGCGACCACTCCGTCCAGACGCCCTCCACATCTGAAGTCACAGAGGGCACGTCAGACGCGCCCAGCGGCCAGTCCGTCCAGCCGCCGTCCACATCTGACGTCACAGACGGCACGTTAGACGCGCCCAGCGACCACTCCGTCCAGCCTCCGTCCACATCTGACGTCACAGAGGGCACGTCAGACGCGCCCAGCGACCACTCCGTCCAGCCGCCGTCCACATCTGACATCACAGAGGGCACGTTAGACGCTTGGCGAGCGATGCGTGGCCAACACATGTCTAGCACGTGACGGGAAGCACACCGTGACCGCGCGCCACACCTGACGCGCGGCAAAGAGGCGTGGCAGCCGATCTGGGCCGGATGCATCAGAGGTGCGGCACAGAGAACGCGTCGAGAACGCGTCGCAGTTGTGTCGCATGCGCCAGTGTAGAGGTCGTTGGCAGCTGTTCCGCCCATCATGACGTCACAAAACGTTTAGCAGTCGGTCTAGTGGCCGTGGACAGTTGACGTCAGATGCTCATTTCAGTCTGTCCAACCTTGTCGGCTTCTATTGTCATAGGGTAAAACGTCAATCAGGCGCAGTTAAGATCCCAACGTCAGCCCCCCCCCCTCCCCGAAGCCTGGTCCGCCCACGACCACTGCTGTTACGGAAGGCTTGTATCCCTGCTCAGTTTAAGTCGCGTAGAACCACGGTGGTACGGGGCGCTGCCCTTCCCCTTTCTGCCTCCGCCGTTTCCCGCCTCCCCCTCCATCCCCCTGCCCCACAAGTCGATGAGATTGACAATAAATCCACATGGCAAAAGACTGTAGCAAGTAGATCTTGTTCTTCCCTACCCACTTTCGGAAGTGGTCTCGCTCCTATTCCAGAGCACTGGGCGGCCTGAGTCTGCGGGCTGAGTGCGCATACCGGGCAGATTGAACTTGCAAGCTGAGTGTGCACGCGGGGGGGCAGACGAACTGCAGGGAGTGCCCGCCGGGCAGGCTGAGCCTGCAGGCTGAGTGTGCACGCCGGGGGCAGACTGAACCTGCAGGCTGAGTGTGCCCGCGGGCAGGGCTGAGCCTGCAGGCTGAGTGTGCACGCCGGGCAGGCTGAGCCTGCAGGCTGAGTGGCCCGCCGGGCAGGGCGCAACCATGCGGCATGAGATAGTGGGCCGCCGGGCAGGCTGAGCCTGCAGGCTGAGGTTGCACGCCGGGCAGGCTGAGCCTGCAGGCTGAGTGTGCGCGCCGGGCAGACTGAACTGCAGGCTGAGTGTGCCCGCAGGGCAGGCTGAGCCTGCAGGCTGAGTGTGCACGCCGGGCAGCTGAACCTGCAGGCTGAGTGTGCCCGCCGGGCAGGCTGAGCCTGCAGGCTGAGTGCACGCCGGGCAGGCTGAGCCTGCAGGCTGAGTGTGCACGCGGGGGGCAGACTGAACCTGCAGGCTGAGTGTGCCCGCCGGGCAGGCTGAGCCTGCAGGCTGAGTGTGCCGCCGGGCAGGCTGAGCCTGCAGGCTGAGTGTGCGCCGGGCAGGCTGAGCCTGCAGGCTGAGAGCGAGCGCATACCGAGCAGACTGAGCCTACAGGCTGAGTGTGCACGCCGGGTAGACTGAGCTGCGGGCTGAGTATGCCCGCCGGGCAGGTGAGCCTGCAGGCTGAGTGTGCCCGGCCTGAGGCAGGCTGAGTGTGCCCGCCGGGCAGGCTGAGCCTGCTGCGCGGCCGGCGGGGTTGCCCAGCTCCCGCCGTTACAACACGGGGCAGCCAGGTGACGCCCGGCGCTGACCTTCCCGCGCTCGTTCGTTATTCAGTCGGCGCCGCGGCCAGACCGGCGCCGCGACCCTGCATGCCGCATACGTCGGCACGCCTGTACCGTGTTCGTGACTTGCCGGGGAAACATGCAGAACGGATGCCCATTCAGGGCGGGCAGGACGCAGGCCCGGCCACGCGTGGCTGGCTGGGAATTTAACGGCTTTGAGCGTTTCGATTTCGCGAAAGACGTTTTATTCGTTGGGTGTCTTATTTAGTACGACGCCAGGTTTGCTTGCGATTGCAATTAGATAAAACATATACCAAACAACTTTCGCAGACAAAGTGTCTCCAAGACATTGCTGCCAAACACCTGAAGTGCTAAGGACAGAATTGCCATTCCACAGCTAAACTTTTATGGCGAAACTGCCAACCGTTATGAGCTCAGGGTTCTTATGCTGAGCTATCAGCGTTCAATGTATCAGGTTGCACTGGTTAAATGACATTCAAGAGCAAATATTGGCTACACTGACATTGCTTAATACAGTCAAGCTATGCAAGTCAACAAAACCGTTGGTAATGACTGTGTGAGTACTGCCAACACGACCAATGTTTGTTCTGAAGCGCCATTTAACCTGCACCTTCCAGCTCTTTGAAGATCGACACCTCCGCATAAGAACCCCGAACTGCCGAAATGCCAACAAGCCGGGAGTTCAAGACATTTCTGCCTCTATCAAATGACACTGATAAGGACAAATCTTGTATCCCAACAAAACTGGCAGGTGGAAGGCCTTTAAGGACAGCCGTCCAGGGTAACACGATGTTATGTACAAATGTACATGCGACGTCACTGCCACTTGTCAAACCATTGCGAGCTTTCACATGACATTTTTTTCCGCTGGCAGAACATCTGCTTCGCCAACAATGCAATCCCGGGAATGCTATCAAAACAACAAAAGCACAAAGAGCATAACTTACCGGCATAAACTGTAATACATCAAAACTGTCACCGAGAGCATATCGCACGACATGACTGCCATCGACACAATTTATAATTAATGTTTCGAAAGATGTCGAAACCGTTATGAACGAAGCCTCCATACATAAATGCGTGAACACGGGCGATGGAACTTATATCACAAAGTTTCTAGTGATCATGGTGCCGGAGCCCCCCCCCCCCAAGCTGTTGTTGGTAACTTATAAGGTGAGCGTGAGCGCATTATACCGTTTGAAACAGATTGGTTACCGAAAAGCCGTTTTAGATAGTAGTAAGGGTTAACAAATATCCGGCAAACCGTTACCGGAATTGATTTGCCCATTTTAAGACTCCGAGCAGTCACCGAAATTGGAATTTTTAGCCATAAAAACTATTGAACAGTCTAAAAGACCGCGGAAGCACACAAAATGCTCAAAACACTTTATGAACAGTTTGAGCTTATCCATTAAAATATATGACTATCTTTGACCTTAGAACTACAGGTAAGGTGTAGCACTGTACGTAATGAAGAATTGAGTATTTGATTAATCCATGGATGGAATGAGATAGTGGAACTGAAGGTTTCCTCTCAGCTTGGACTAGGATCAGATCGGATTTTAAAGGAAGCGTGCACAAAGTGACTGGAGCTGGGCGAAGAGTACCAAATACATTTAAACAGGAGTAGGCGTCCCCATGTATACCACACGTTTCACATGTTGTGTTAAATTGGGATGGAATAGAGCAGATTTATATGGATAACTCAGGACGTCTTACTCTGACCGGAAAAGGACTAATCTGACCGAAAAGAGACTTAACTGAACACAAAAAGGATTTCTCTGGGAAAAGGGACCGCGAACACGCGCCAAGAGGCACAGGGTAATCTCGGATCAACCAGCAACACCTGCTTTGAAAAGAGGGCTTTAAACTCCAGTGAAATAAGCACATTTCGGACCAATCCGATTTTCTTAAGTCTGGTCGAGTTATCTGAAGATCTGCAAAAGGGTCTTTCCAAGCTCAGCCAGAAGCCGTGCGCTTAATACGCGCCCTGGTGGCCGGCTGGATACTCTTCGCTCGGGTGGGAGGGTCAATTTG